TATAGAGGCTTATTAATGGAAATTGTGGCAAAATACCCATAAAAAAGTTGTTTGTGTGTGAGAGACAGTGCTAGACTGGTGTATGGTCTGGTATCAATGGAAGAGTTCTGGGCTACGTTGTCCTTTAAGTGGGCTTGTAACCACTGAAGGTGTGGTATAGATGGGCACTATAAGAGTCTCTGGCTGCTGCCTTTCTGAATGTGATGGAAAAGGCATTCCACAAGGTACTCTTGAATAGGTGTAGAGGAGCGCTCGGTATAAAGGTTTGTCACACTTGAGGTCATGATTAAGAGATTTATTATTGTTGACTGTTTATAGGTGACAAGTATAGCTCAGTGGGGAAAAATGCCTCCCTCTTCACCAGGACTGTGATAGTAGGTGTGGTTGGAACAGACCTGTAACTGGGATTCAGCTAAGAGTATGGCCCATTAAGTGTTTCCAATTTGTAGAATTACATCATGTCCTAAAAAGAAAAAGTGTTAAGGCATTGCAGTGTCCTGATGAGTTGATGTAGTCAGTAAATGCTTGACAATCTGATCAATTTAATTTCAAGGCTTTTGCAGTGCTCTGTAAATAGAAGTTTTTTCCTGCTGTCTACCTGATCTGTTCCCTAGGATCACCAATCCAGTAATTTCTCATCTTCCCCACTTGTGCTCATATATTAAGAATATAGAGGGGTTATTTTGCTCCTTTTAACCTGAAGTCACTCTGGCTACAGAAGAGGCCAACATCTGGGGTGCAGATGATGATATGGAGTAGTGATAAAAACAGACACTTAAATATTACACCCAGAAACTCAGACTTGGATTGCACCCAACGCAGGTGCTTCCTATGCCTAAGACTGGTCATGGCTCTTCAATTCCTACATGTTTCAATTTGGTTATTTTCACATTTTTATCATAGCATGACATTATAAATATAAGTTTATTTAGATGCTATGGTTCTCTGAAAAATAATTTTCTCAGATGTTGTTTAATGACCCATATACTCACGCTTTCTAAAAAGGCATTGTTTATATTTTGAGCACTTTGAAAATCTTGAAAACATATGGCAAGTTTACATTAACAAATAGATCAAAAGTAACAAAAAGCCTGAAATTCGTTCCAGCAATTAGCTTAACACTACCCAGAGTTTCTCTACAAGATGTATGATGCCTAATGAAAACAGACAGGACATGTATTATAAACATCTGCTTGTGGGGCATTGATATTGATATCCTATTTGTTTCCCATGTGCTTTCCACTTGAAATGAAAAAAAATTACAGATGAAATATGCAAAGCAAATATTTTTGTTAAACAAACTTTTTATGGCTGTATATACCGTAAATGTGTTAGGACTCGCTGTTTAGGGATAGGTAACTCATCTGAATGCAGATTGATGAATTGAATCTAGGGTGAGGACTGCTATCTTATCACTTTTTACAATTAGCTAAGAGAAATTCTGAGCAGAAGTTGCAGTAAAAAAAAAAATCCAACAAATTAACTGGATTTTTATTGAATATTCAACAAAATATTATCCATAAGTGGTACAACATCCGTTGGAAGTAAAATAGACTTGTTGACAAGGTGCAAATGCCAATGTAATAACAATGACAATGTGGCATATCCATAGATTACCATATTCAGAGTTTAAATCCCTACTATACCTATCTGGTAGGGTCATCACTGAACAACAGTAATATAATCATCATCACACCACTACGCAGAACAATAGTAAACCAAATAGAAAGAATGAAAGGAACAGATTCCTATTAAATCATAATAATCAGTTTTCAGTTGGTATATAAGGGCATTATAGCAAGCATGATAGGGTAGACCTTAATATATCCATGATTATAGATCATCTGTCTGACTTAAGGAATATACTTGAGTTTAAATATATCTAACCAAGATGCCCATTCCTGTCTAAATTTCCCACCAGTACGAGAAGCTAAAGAGTACTCATATGAACAATTTAAGTAGACTCTGTGTGTAACTTCCGATAGATTAGATATTGAGTTTTGTCTCCATTTGCATAATATCGTGAGGCAGGCCGCTATTAAAATGTGCACAACTAGGGTGCAAAATTGTGTGGGAAAGCTTCCAAGGTCCAGGCCCGGTAATGCCACTTGGGGAGCAGGATGGGTGATAATGCCCATAGTGGTAGAACTTAGAACAAAGACAGAGATCATTATAGATTTACAATGTAATAGTACGTGTAGTAAGGTTCCGTTCTGACCACAATTACACCAGCATTCAGATGAGGCATGGAGGTTCATAGAAGCCAATCTGTACGGTGTGAGTTACCAACGATGGGTAATCTTTAAAGCATTCTCCCAATGTAAAACACAGTCGGTTGCTGTATACATAGATTTAAATGCTATACTCCACTCTGTAATTGTACATCATAAATCCTTTTCCCATCTAGACAGAGACAAGGGTTTAGTCTACTGAGAATGTAAGCGAATATAAAACCAAAGTCAAAAAAACCTCCTCCGCGTCTGTGAATCTTCAAATGATCATACATAAACTTGATCCATCTCCAAAATCAATTCTTATGTGTCCATGTGTACCTCAAAAAAACAAAATAGCTGCATATAGTGCATTACCCTCAATTATCACAAAATCAATATCAATGTGCACTTATGATCAAAAATTATAAACAATCACCCGGTGTCCACCAAATATGGCTGAATAAAAACTATTACCCTAAAGTTAACTTTAAATGGCTTTATATCTCACTCCCCATAAGGATCCTCTCACCGCCGATCCTACAGACTCATCTTTATCATATAAAGGATACCTCTGAAAAAAAACGTATCATAGTGTATCATCATTTAAACATGTAGTCAGTGCTCCCCTCTTCAACACCACTTAGTGAAATGCAAAATCACTCTCCACCACCTTCCAAACCATACACCTTACCGGACTACAGATGTCCAATAGCATAAATAGATGTAGGATGGCTCCTCTTTAATCCATGCTGATCCAATCTCCAATTCCAATAAGCATCATATCATAATTCAAAAGAAGAGAGAAAGACCATATAGTGTAGTAAAATTTATATAAATGGTCTATTTATTAAAATTGTGCTTACAAGACTCAAAACTCCCAAATCACATATCTCCTCTTTCAAAATGGCCGCCTCGCTACTTCCGATAAAGTCGGAAGTGATGAAACGCGTTGAGGGACATGAGGTCAGACGTGAGACGTAGTAGGCTCAGATACAGCAGCAACCACTGCTTTCAATCAGGGCCTGTGATAAGGAGAGGATGGCAGGGCCGAGTCCCATTTTGTGGACACACAGAGAAGGGTTTGGGACCGAGCATTTTGCTTGGCTTGGGGGGGCAGTAGGCATGGGGTGGTAGAGCCCAAAGCACTGGCAGGGAACTTGAAAAGAGAGGGATCGGGCTGCTCTTTGCAAAACCATTGCACAGAGCAGGTAAGTATAACATGTTTGTTATTTTAATAAAAAATAAAAGAACAAGCTTTACAATCAGTTTATGGCATGGTTCACAACTGTGAACCTTTGTGTGCATTTTACAGCGCATAAAAACACACTTGTCACAAAAATACATTGATTCCAAGGAGTCCATTTATATCTGCGCACTCTGAAAAAAATGAGGCATGTCTAATATTGTATGTGTTTACCTGCATTTTTTAAGCCCATTTAAGTCAATGGAATGCATGAAGAAATGAAAAATGCTTGAAGAAATGTAAAATGCATGAAGAAATGTAAAATGCACCAGAAATGCACGTTAAAGAACATAAACAAAAAAACAAGGAAAAAATGCATGTCAGCAGAAGCAGCCTAATGCAGCTTCCTCTGATAGTGTCACTCTAAGCTGCTTTTCCCAGAATTTAGAGCAAAGTTGCCACTTTCATGTCGGCCAATGTCTGCTTGAACTACAGTGGGTTGAAAAGTATTGCAATGGACTTGGCCGCATCATCTTGTCACTGCTTAATCAGAAGTCTGTAGCTTGTCATTCAGCACCTGGGCATACCTAGTCCTTCCCACTGCTTTTTGAATTGACAGCACTGCCTCTGTTGATGAAACCCTCCTACTGTGATCTGGAGTGTCTAGGAGGGGGGTGCATGTGAGACACAAATGAAGGAAGATTTGGCTCAGTCACAGAAAATAAAGGACATTTTTGCTTATTTAAAGAGGCTTTAAACATTTGGACATTGGATGCTTGTTTAGACTGTCATATGGCAACCTTGAAGTATAGGTATACTTCATTAATCAGAAAATCACAAATCACCGCTTCAATATTGCTTAGCTGTTTTATCTATCCTAACCATTCACAAATGGGACTTTAGTTTTACTTTAACCATTTGCAACATTTCCTGCACTGAAGAAGTTTACAAGCTTTTCACCTGCCCCATCCATAAAGCACAATTGGCCAGTTTGGGTGGATTTACTTACTGGTATGGTTCTTGGAGGAAAGCAGATGGTGCTTGGGGAAATCCACATAGACAGCCCATCATTGCAATGTAGAAATGGTAACTGCTTAGCCTTTGTGCTACTTTATGAAGCCAATTGAATTAGGAAAGTTTAAGTAACAATAAGATGCTTGTTCAAGGTTTTTATAGATAGGTTTCAAGTAACAATGGAATTGTTCTTGCATTTATTATGAATAACACAGTATTTAATACAAGGCTGTGTTGTATTTTGTGACCTGAAAAGTAAAACATAGTGTTTTAGAATTTATATTCCCAATTTAAATAATGCAAATGTACTGTATTTTGTTTATGCTAACATTGCATGCATTTATAGCTCCTGCCAATGGCTGTTCATATTTTTGAAGACAGGAATTCTGTCTGTGTCAAATTAAATCAGAAGATTGCTAGAAATATGCCCATACTAGGCATAATTTGCTAAAATTACCATTTTAATGTCTGTTCTTTTGAGATACAATGAAACAACTATGTTTTGTAAAGCTGGAGAGTAATATGATTTAACAATAATGGGCCATCTGATCATGAAATAATTGTTTTGTTTGCCAAAACTTTGATTGCAGACATAGATGAATGCCAAGAGATGGATGAAGCTTGCCGGGAGGAGGAAGCTGCTCTAATACTATCGGTTCTTATGTATGCATTTGTCCACCAGGTTTCCTGCTTGTTGATGGAAGGAGGTGTCAAGGTAAGATTTGTTAAATTTTGAGTTTACCTTCTCAGGCAGAATTTCCCTTTTCCTAATAAATAGAAGCCTTTTCTAATGTCTTTTCTGTCCAAGCCATCCCAGTGTGCTTATCTCTCACTTACCTAGTTCATGGCAGCCTTCTATTTGCACCTTTCAAATTTTCATAAGTTGCTGACTTTCCGTGACTTCCTGTAATATCATTTGACAATCCAGGACACTTCATATCCCATCATGCACCGTCTTATGGCATCACAGAAAAGGGTGTGTTTTTACCTCTCTGGACTGCACACCCTCCTTCCCCTTCTTCATTACCACACCTCCTCCACCATGGAATCATGTCAGAGTGTACTGAGCTTCAAAGAGGGCAAATTGTTGGTGCCCACTTATCTAGTGCCTCTGTGACTGAAATTGCCAATTTATTTGCTGTGTCGCGAGGTACAGTTATGGGTTATGATGGCATATACGGGAAAACGTCGTCTGATAAGCATAAGCAGGGTCAACTGGAAAAGGAAAACAACTGCTGAAAAAGTGACTGCAGAGAAGGGCAACCAAACTGATTAGAGGCGTGGAGGAGCTCAGTTATGAGGAAAGATTAGAGGAACTAAATTTATTCTCTCTTGAGAAGAGGAGATTATGGGGGGGATATGATCAACATGTATAAATACATCAGTAGTTCATATAGTGAACTTGGTGTAGAGTTATTTCCCCTAAGGTCATCAGAGAGGGCACTCTTTAAGTCTGGAGGAAAAGAGATTTAATCTCCAAATCTAGAAAGGTTTCTTCACAGTAAGAGCTGTGAAAATGTGGAATAGACTCTCTCAAGAGTTGGTTCTGGCCAGCTCAGTGGATTGCTTTAAAAAAGGTCTGGATTCTTTCCTAGATACACACAATATAACTAGATACTAACATTTATAGGTAAAGTTGATCCATACTAACATTTATAGGTAAAGTTGATCCAGGGAATATCCGATTGCCTCTCAGGGGATCAGGAAGGAATTTTTCCTCGGCAGGAAAAAATTGGATCATGCTTTGCTGGGGTTTTTTTGCCTTCCTCTGGATCAATGGTGGGTATAGGATTATATATAGTTGAAGTGGAGCTCTGTGCCCGTTACTGATCCAGTCACGGGCCCATCTAGCTGGTCCGTCAAGAGTCACTCTCATCTCATCAGTCCATACAACCTTTGAAAAATCTGTTTTCAGATATTTCTCGTCCCAGTCTTGATGTTTTAACTTATGTGTCCTGTTCAGTGGTGGTCAGGTTTCAGCTTTTCATACGTTGGCCATGTCTCTGAGTACTGAACACCTTGTACTTCTGGGAACTCCATTTGGGTTGCAGTTCTGGAATATGACAGCGCTGGAGTATAATGAGTTCCTGATAGCTTCACGTTTGATTCTTTCAAATCTTTGTCAGTTAAAGTGTTACTAAACCCAGGACCCTTTATTCACTATATCTGGTCTCCCACACTACACAGAATATGGATGTGCAATTATTTTAGTAAATATGAACTGCTAAATGCCTTTTCTCATCAGCAGTTAGAGCAGTCTTGTGGCTTCTATCAGTGTCCAGCCAAGCACTGGTTAAAGCTTGTAGGAGGAGTTTTCATTTCAGAACCCCTGACCTCTGTCAACCAGTGCTGATTGGCCATGTGCTAATCGGATGCACTCTCCCAAGAACAAAAAAAAAACCTCTCTAGCAATACACACCAAACTAAGCATGTGCAGAGTGACTCCACACGATATGTCTTATCAGGAGATAAGAGGGGGACACTGGATGAAGGGGAGGGTCAGAGAAGACAGGATCAAACACCGTTTTTACACAATACAGAAGATTAACCCCTTAGCTTCTATAGTGAGTGTAACAAGCATGCTTTACTGCATATACAGACTGATTTTACTGTTGTGGGTGTAGTAACACTTTGATTTGTGTCTTTTTTTCTCAACTCGTTTCTTAAGACCCTGTTGACTATTTGCAACAAACGTTTAATGGTTCTGTGATCGCGCCCAATATCTTAGCAATTTCAATAGTGTTGCATTTCTCTGAAAGACTTCTTTTGACTTTTCAGAGTCAGTTAAATCTCTTTTTTGACCCATTTTGCCAGAGGAAAGGAAGCTGCCTAATAATTATGCACATCTTGATATAGGGCAGTGGTCGGCAAGCCGCGGCTCGCGAGCCACATGCGGCTCTTTACACACTTCAATGCGGCTCTTCTGTGTGCCGGGCGCCCACTCGCCTCCCTCCTCTCGGGCGGCCGCCCCAAAAGTCAGGACTCTGCAGCTAGCCCAGCAATGGGCAAACTACGTCCCGGCGGACCTTTTAATCCGGCCCGCGGAGCGTGGCAAACATTGGCTGTCAGGGTGTAGGCGGGGCAGCGTGACGAACTCCTCTCCTCTCACAGTCCGCCCTGAAGACCGGAATGGCGCGGGAACACGGCGAGAGGAACGCGCGGAGCAAAGGTAAGTGAATTGACACAATATGGGGAATGAATTACTATAGGGGGGATGAATTACTATAGGGGGGATGAATTACTATGGGGGATGAATTACTATGGGGGGATGAATTACTATAGGGGGGATGATGAATTACTATAGGGGGGATGAATTACTATGGGGGATGAATTACTATATGGGGGATGAATTACTATAGGGGGGATGAATTACTATATGGGGGGTGAATTACTATGGGGGATGAATTACTATATGGGGGATTAATTACTATATGGGGGATGAAGTACTATGGGGGATGAATTACTATATGGGGGATGAATTACTATGGGGGATGAATTACTATATGGGGGATGAATTACTATGGGGGATGAATTACTATATGGGGGATGAATTACTATGGGGGATGAATTACTATATGGGGGATGAATTACTATGGGGGATGAATTACTATATGGGGGATGAATTACTATGGGGGATGAATTACTATATGGGGGATGAATTACTATGGGGGATGAATTACTATATGGGGGATGAATTACTATGGGGGATGAATTACTATATGGGGGATGAATTACTATGGGGGATGAATTACTATATGGGGGATGAATTACTATGGGGGATGAATTACTATATGGGGGATGAATTACTATGGGGGATGAATTACTATATGGGGGATGAATTACTATGGGGGATGAATTACTTATGGGGATGAATTACTATGGGGGATGAATTACTATGGGGGATGAATTACTATATGGGGATGAATTACTATGGGGGATGAATTACTATGGGGGATGAATTACTATATGGGGGATGAATTACTATGGGGGATGAATTACTATGGGGGATGAATTACTATATGGGGGATGAATTACTATATGGGGGATGAATTACTATGGGGGATGAATTACTATATGGGGGATGAATTACTATATGGGGATGAATTACTATGGGGGATGAATTACTATATGGGGGATGAATTACTATATGGGGGATGAATTACTATGGGGGATGAATTACTATATGGGGGATGAATTACTATGGGGGATGAATTACTATATGGGGGATGAATTACTATGGGGGATGAATTACTATATGGGGGATGAATTACTATGGGGGATGAATTACTATATGGGGGATGAATTACTATGGGGGATGAATTACTATATGGGGGATGAATTACTATGGGGGATGAATTACTATATGGGGGATGAATTACTATGGGGGATGAATTACTATATGGGGGATGAATTACTATGGGGGATGAATATGGGGGATGAATTACGTATGGGGGATGAATTACTATGGGGGATGAATTACTATATGGGGGATGAATTACTTTGGGGGATGAATTATGGGGGATGGGATGAATTATATGGGGGATGAATTACTATGGGGGATGAATTACTATATGGGGGATGAATTACTATGGGGGATGAATTACTATATGGGGGATGAATTACTATGGGGGATGGGGGGGATGAATTACTATATGGGGGAATTACTATATGGGGGATGAATTACTATGGGGGATGAATTACTATATGGGGGATGAATTACTATATGGGGGATGAATTACTATGGGGGATGAATTACTATGGGGGATTAATTACTATATGGGGGATGAATTACTATGGGGGATGAATTACTATATGGGGGATGAATTACTATGGGGGATGAATTACTATATGGGGGAAATTACTATATGGGGGATGAATTACTATGGGGGATGAATTACTATATGGGGGATGAATTACTATGGGGGATGAATTACTATGGGGGATGAATTACTATATGGGGGATGAATTACTATGGGGGATGAATTACTATATGGGGGATGAATTACTATGGGGGATGAATTACTATGGGGGATGAATTACTATATGGGGGATGAATTACTATAGGGGATGAATTACTATATGGGGGATGTATTTTCAGTTTTAAAAATGTGGCTCTCAAAATAAATTTCAATCGTGGTTTTGGCGAGATTTGGCTCAGTTGAAAAAAAAGGTTGCCCACCACTGATATAGGGTGTTGATCTCTGTAGGCCACACCCTCCCTCATTACACACGTACACATCACCTGATATACTTAAATCCAATAAGTATTCAAGTTTATACAGCTTAGAACTGAACAATATGCATGAAAATGATGATTTGGTCAAAATATTCACTTGCCTAATAATTGTGTACACAGTGTATGTGGTTGTATAATGTGTTGTTGGTTTTGTGTGGGAGGGGCCAGGGTGGATGCCTGATATGAAAGGGTTTTGTCTAAGAACATTGGTCAAATGCTGCATGGTCAGTACATACAGTATGGGTGACAAGGGGCATCTCTGGTATGTACCACCGTCTATTGAAAAGTTAGGGGGGAGAAAAATTGTGACCCTTACTCTTGCTGAAGGAGGGGTGTAAATGGCTATGATTTAGGAGATTGGGGCCTTTGCCTAACTATAGTAGATCGTGTTTAGGAAAAGACCATCGGATCTGGGCAAAGGCCTCCTCAGTGTTTACTGGTAAAAGGCATGTTTGTGGTTTGGGCATGTTGGGTTATTA